TTGTATCATGCCATCTGCGGTCGATGAAGTCAAGACATAGGAGGAAATATATTTTAGCTTAATACTGATGCTACAACCAATGACCAGGGATGGAATAAATTTTACTCTTTGAAAATTTTATACATGTATATAGTGTATGTAGATCATATCTGCTCCTCCTAGAAACCTATCACAACTCCTTGCCATAATTCATTTCATTTCATTTTATTTCATTTTAACCCACAGAGTCCAATTAGTGCTACCCATATGCTTGTAGATGTGGCATCATCCACTGGGGCATAGGGAACCTCCCAATGGCTGTACTTCAGAAAAAGGTGATTCTCCCTCTCACAGCATCTTTCAACCTTAAGTAGATAACTCTTACATAGCAGAAATGAGTTGGTCACTGTTTAAAGACTCTGAAGTCTGAGATGGCAATGCCTGCTGTTCGTGTCAGTCAAAGGATGTGTGCTTTATAAATGGCAGCTTATGGCTCTGCCCTGACATGGCAGAAAAGAACAATAAACTCCCCTGAGCCTCTTTTTTGAGGCTGCTAATCCCATTTTCTAAGGGTCCGGACCCAGGATAGCACTGCAATCCCTATTGTGTGCAATAGGTTTCAGGACACAGATATTCAGACTTTAGGAGGAAATAAATGTTTCTCTGCTAAGGTAACAACCACAGAGGGTACATGGAAGTTCAGACCTCTCTCTTCTTTTCTTTTCCTACCTGCCTTCTCTGACTTATCTTTTGACACTTCATTGTGGACATTCAGCAAATTCCCTTTGAGCATCTTCCTATGCTGACCTTACCAATTTCAGGGTGGCTATCTACTCTTTACTGGCTAACTTTGTGGTTGTGGAGGGTATAATTTTTTTTTAATTTTTGCAACAGGATCTCATTGTATCACCCAGACTATCTCTCTCAGTCCTCTTGCCTTCCCAATCTTAGAGTGTCAGCTTGTTAAGTGTGGGGAGGGCGTATTGTTAGTTTTTAACAGGGTGGATAGATAGATGATAGATGATAGATAGATAGATTGATAGGTGATATATGGATGGGTGATAGGTGATAGATAGATGATAGATAGAGATAGATAAATAGATAGACAGATAGATAGATTGATAGATTGATAGGTGATATATGGATGGGTGATAGGTGATAGATGATAGATAGAGATAGATAGATAGATAGATAGATAGATAGATAGATAGGTGATGGATGGGTGATAGATAGATAGGTGATAGATGGATGGGTGATAGATAGATAGATAGATCTCGTGATGCTGGTGATCAGGCCCAAACACTTTCACATGTCAGGCAAGTGCTTTACCACTGAGCTATACCTTAACTTCTATAATAATTTGTATTATATAAGATATGTGCACACTCATTTCATTTTCATATCTGAAAGCAGCATAAAATGCATCTTACAAATAATGAAACTGGAGCTGAGAGAAGTTCAGTGGGATAGAAACAGGCTGAGGCAGATTGTGACTTTCTCTTCTCAAAGACCCTCACGGTAGCTGGAGGTGAATCTGGGGAACATTTCAGAAGGCATACTGTGGTGGGAAGGCAGTAAGTACTCTGTGGTGTGGGATTAGGGGACCCTAGAACATGTAAGATATATTTGGGCCAGTTTGACTCTCCGTGTAATGGAGAATTTGGATGTCATGACAATCTCAGGGTGGAAACTGCTCATGCCAGGTCAGTTTTCTGACTTCGTTATCTGAATGATAAAAACATAATACAACCTTGCCCCTCCCAACCTACAAGCTTCTCCCACATCACGTCCAACCTCTCAGCCCAGCCAAAGCCAGCACAACCTGCACCAGAGTCTAGCCTGACAGAGACCATTGCAGTAAACTGATCAAATGCAGAGGCATTTAGTGGCACCCAGTGCCAAAGGATACATCTACAACACAACCTCTGCACCTAAGGCTGAAGGGATTGCCGAGGAAGAAAGGATGGAAAGATTCTAAGAGCCAAAAGCATAGGGAGTTTACCATGAGATGACATCTTCTAGACATGTCAGAGAAGCTGAACACACGAAGTCTGATCAACGTGGCTGCCTAAGCAAGTTCTAAACAAAGACAATACTACTACACGTGCTAACATGGAAGGGAGAAAAGGGAGAAATCTTGTGCAGGGGTCCAACCCTAAATAAAGAGCCACAGACAAGAGTGGGAAAAATCGTCTTACTCAGAGATAAGTATTCTAATTGGTCAGTCCTGAAATCATTCATTCATTCATATATATATATATAATTGTACAGATTGGGTAGGTGTTAGGAACACATACACACAAATACATATACACTCATTCATGTAACAAAGAAACAGAGGCCATAAATTTGAGTAAGATCAAGGAGAGTGAAGTGGCATACATGGGACAGGTTGGCTAGAGGAAAGGCAAAAGTAAAAATGATTTTAATTTGAAAAAAAGAAAAATTTATAACATGCATTTATATTTGAGTGAGAGAGGAGAGGAAAGTGGGGGGAGTTGTTATATGCTCTGACTTAGAAAATAATCCTCCAGTATTAATTATACAAAGAGCAGCAACCCACGCTTGTATTAAATCATTACGGGATCACTTCTGTTAGTCATCTAAAACTGAGCTGCCAAGTTGTCCACGGTCTTGGACAGGCCAGCTTCTCACGTGAGGTGTAGAGTCCCCAAAGATGCATGCTGTATCTATGTACATACATACTCTAGACCTGTCCCTAGCCTGCCTTAGGCCGTCACGACTGAGAGATGTGGGAGACCTTAAAGCTTCAGCGTGCCAGCTCTTGAGACCATTCTCTTTCCTCTACTCGGGGCTGTTCACCATGCTCGGGTGGACCATGTGGCCAAGATTCATTTTGGAACAAGGGTCCATCCCAACCTTCCCTTAAAAGCCAAAGGGCTGAGGTTCAGAGAGCATCTGCAGAGCCCTGGTGTCTTGTCAGGAACTGGTGCCATGCCCTCTTGTTTCCCGTCTCAGAGTTCCCAGATCATGTCTGGGCCAGACTCCAGGGCCTTCCTTGGGTTTCCCTGCGACAGAACCAGAAGGCTACAAAAGAGATAACTGTGGGGACAGGCAAAGGTTCCGGAACTCTCCGGGGTTCTCTTGGGAGGTGTCACAGCTCACACCCATGACTCCCTTTATTTGACCCTCCTGTGGGCCAATTGTGCCCTGCTGTGCCCTCACTTTCATTTCCAAAGCAGGAGCCCCTCTGATACCACTTGCCTGCCTTCAGCTGCAGGATATCCAAACCTATAGGAGCCAGAAGACAGACAGGCCTTTCAAAGAACACGCTGTTTCAAGTGGGTAACCAGTGTATCGGGAGAAGTCTGCCCTCAGTGACTAGATAGACCTCGTTCTGAGGGAAGCTTTCTGCAGGGGGCGGAGGATTCCTCAGAGGAGGTGCTTGCCCTTTATGATGTTTCTCTTTTGGAGACCTTTGGGCTTAACTTTTTAGGATAGAGGGATATGAAGTTAAGGAGGCTGGGGTACTTCTGATGGATAAGCAGTGAAGGAAGGGATCTGACACATGCGCCTCGGAGAGAGGTAGATCATATGGGGTTTTATCTTTCCCTATATGTGGCCTCCGTTTCAGCCTCATGGACCTGTGCTGATTGATGTTCTAGCTCCCATGATGTCAAGAGACTGCACTATTTCTAGCGCAGTGGGTTTTGCTGAGGCTGAAGGAGGAGAGCATGGTCCCTGGAGAGGGGAACAGTGATGGGTTACTCAGGCATTAACTCCCCTAACCTGTCTCCTCTTGCCATGTGGGCCTCCGGGTGGGCCGAGAGACCACTCTATGCTCTGTGATGGCAGTGTTTGGTCTTTATGTAGGATGGTGAAATATCACTGGACCGATGTGTCCAGATGCAGTAGCAGAGTGAAGAGGCATTCTCTGGGGCTCCAAGTCAAGCTTTCTACCGTAAAAACTGTGGCTTTGGGTGAAGTGCTTCACATTCCTGTGCTTTCATTTTGAGAGCTAAGTGAAGTGCGGGTAAATGTAGATTGTGGGGATGAGTTCCACTCAGAGGTGACCCCAGACCGCCTAGTGCCAGGCTCGTGGTAAACACGCAATAACGATGAACCCAGGGTGGTAAACATGTAATAATGACGAACCCAGGGTGGTAAACATGTAATAATGACGAACCCAGGGCGGCAGCACCTGTGTTGTTTCTTTAACAAATCGGAATTGTTTTGACTCTAATATCGCTGTTGACTCTTCTCTGACAGACCTAGTTATGACAGTAATTATTTGCACCCAGTCAAAGTTCAGTCTCTTCAGGACTCAGCTCTACCTGGAATGATTAGCCCTTCCTATCCCGGGAGAACCAAACAAGGTGATTTCTTCCCAGTTTGCTGATGGATAAATGGAAGCCATGGACACCTTGCCATGGTGGCATTCCCCAGGGAAGATGGTTGTGACAGTCTGATCCAAAAAGATCCCATAGAGACCCCTGTGTCCTAGAAAATGACTGACCACAGAAACCCTTGTTCGCTCAGAGCAACTTTTTTCCTCTTGGGAAACTTCCCCAGTTAGACATGTGCCTCGTTATACTCGGGTAAGGATGGACAAATGGACCTGGAGACCAATGGAATGTCTCTCCTTTCCCCAAACCCCGGATAGATAGGAGTTGCTGACCAAATACTGTTAGCTTCCTCTTTTTGTTCTATGCGTGTGATTGACCCTCAAACTCTTCTGAGTCCATGGTAAAAGAAAAGAAGGCCACAGTAGTCTGACCATAGCCACTGTTTCCCAGAAAACTCCTTTGTGCACTCTGTATATGACTGAAGTTTATTCTCCAGGTTCCCAGGAGCTTTTGCCCACCTCCCACCGAGCTCTGTGGCACTGCTGTCTCTTCATACAGGCAAAGATGGCATGGAGAACTGTGGTCAACAGAGCATATTTGAGGCTACAGGAATGCTCATCGTTTTCCAGCCCCTCCTCCTGTCTGATGCTTTCTCCACTGCCCCACTGCTGTCTTTATCCTATGCCAATGGGTGTTCTCTTTCTCTCCTTTTAGGGATCCATGGGCCCCCCCGGGCCACCCGGCAGAGATGGCAGTAAAGGCGTGAGGGTAAGCTCTGTTTTTACCACTTGAGTTCTTCATCACTGTGGTTGTCTCACTTGTGATGAGTTCTGGGCTGTGGGGAATGGACACCCCAGGCATCTGGCAGCCACTTTGGGGGTGCCTGGGGCCTGCATCGTGCTGACTATGACCATGTGACGATTTTGCTCAGGGGGAACCAGGAGAGCTGGGAGAGCCGGGACTGCCTGGAGAGGTGGGCATGCGGGTAAGTATTGCTGGAAGCTGCTTATGTTCTCAGGGTCCAGACAGTTCTCAGGGGTGCAAACCAGCTGCTTTAGCTATTGATGAGGTGCTTGGATCGGTTTCTGCCTCTTTCTCGTGTAACTTTATACATATAGATATATGTCTACACATGTATAATTCCTCATGCATTCTTACAGAAACTGGCCATACGGTTGAAAAATGTATTATTCTCTATAGCAGTAGAGACTTTCCATGCCAATCCAGATAGAAATAGATCCTCCTCTTCAGTTGGTGCCTGACAGCCAGTGATTTGGATGCCGTTATAATGTGCATAGCATTTACGTACTGATGGCTCCAGGCTTACTTTTTAATTTTCCTTTGTTTTCAACTAAAATCATTGAAACACTAAAGCATGTAGGTGTGTGTGTGTGTGTGTGTGTGTGTGTGTGTGTGTGTGTGTGTGAGTGTGTGTGTGTGTGATGTGTATGGCATATGTGTGGGGGTATGGTGTACGTGTGGAGGCAGAGTGTGGGAGTGGTATGTGTATGTGTACTACGTTTCTGTTGCTGTAGGGTAGTTTATAAAAGTTGGGATAGCTTTGACAGAAGAAATGCCTAATTTTTTTATTCTAGTGATTTTTCATAGATACGTACGAATGTGTTGTTCTCAGATGGCGGGAGTTTCTGCTTAACCAGGTTGTGCTCAGAATTCTGGTAGATCCCTTCACGGGACTTGCCCAGGATGCACACATCATGTGGCTCCCTGAAATCTTCAGCTACAGCAGTCAGCTGCACAGAGTCAGAAGTCACCCGCCTGTCTGGGTCAGACCATGAGAAAGAAGGCTGAGGGACCTGGGGCAGATGACAGTGGGACTGTTACCTGTAGGCTCCCGATGGCCCAGAGGCCATACCATTGGCCTTTCCTTGAAGTTCCGCATGCCTTCCTGTGATTGTGGCTTTGGCAGGCATCAGGTGGGAGAAAGAGCCGTGGGTGTTCTGACAGGGCATGAGGGCAGGGTGTGTCTACCAGTCACCATGGTACAGGCAGTGTGGGTAGCACACGTGACATAAGAAGCAGTGTGTCCTTCTAAAAAGAACGTTGGCTGAGAAGCACTTGCCCTTTTTTCCATTCCATCCTTCTTTTGTGGACTCTTCTGCAGGGCCCTCAGGGACCCCCTGGACTGCCAGGACCGTCTGGACACATTGGAGCTCCGGTACGTGAATGGTGGGGCTGGGAGGTGGCTCTGTCCCTTTCTGCAGCTGTCAGCAGCTGACTCTCCAGCCTGCCTTTCACCTCAGTCTATACAGTTATCTCTTGCTGGTTGGATGTTAAGGACAATTTAGTTTCTCTTGGAGTAGAAATTCCTAAATGCTTTGGGGCTCATGAGTCACCAGGGGAACAAGCTTAAATGCACATTCCTGGGGCCCCTTTCCTAACGAAGCAGGGCAGAGCCTGGGAGAATGACCCTTGGTGTAAGCCATTTCCACCCACATGCACAGTGCACAGTCATCTACTCCAGAAGGAAGGTGGAGTCTAGAGAATCCCCAGCCCCCACATTAGAGCTAGATGCTGGACAGTTGTGTCCTTGGTTTAAAGAGGTGAATCATGTTTAGGTATGGCATATAAGAGGCACACGTGGCTTCTTGGTCATTAAACCATTATTGTTGAGTCTCAGTGAAAGAAATTTGAGATTATCTGCAAATTAAAGAAAGTGTAAAAATTTTATCAAAACAGCTTCATTGCCGTGTAGATATCCAAGACCCTCTGGTGTCAGCATGCATGGCCACAGTGGTTCCATGCAACTAGGATGCTGTTGTGTCCTCTCATCCTTTAGACCTGGGTGATCAGTTCTGCAGATCCCTTTTCCTTAAATGAGCATCTCAAGGCTTTGGTCCTTACGCTCTTCTGTAGGTCAAAGATGTGGCATTGTCCTGGAATCAGTATCAGTACAGGAAGTGCTAGACTTCACACATTTTCTGCATAATGAGGATCTCCTCCATAAAAAAAGAGAGGGACCATAGAAGGGTGGGGGTTCATAGCACAGGGTCTTGGTGCTGCTCTAGAGGAAAGTAGGAGGGGGTACAGGGCTCTGCTTTATCCCTGGCGTAGGTACAGCAGAGGCTTATAAAGGGGGCTAGAGCTTCTAGGTCCATGTTGGAGCCCCTTGATCATGATGGAACTGTAGGCTCCAGGTGGTTGTGGGCTGACTCAATGGTCTTCCCTTTGTCAGGTGATCTGGGTTCCATAGCTTGAGGATAGGACCAGGAAAACAATCCCAGGATCACATCTGGAAGTGTGTGGGTTCAAGGTCCAGGTTGAGGCAGGAATTCAGGCTTCCTGGTAATTGTAGTTGGGTGGCACAGGACCTTCTCTACCACCTTGTCATGGACATGGGTGTGAGTTGAAATTTTTCTGGGGGCCTCCAGAGGCTGAGCACTGGGAGGCCACGTTATGAGGTGTGTCATTGCTTTTTTTCCCCCAGGGTCTCCAAGGAGAACGAGGTGTAAGGGGGACTCCAGGAGAAAAGGTATTTAGAGTTCATACTGGCCAATTAATGCCTCTTCCACAGAAAAGAGAGAGAATGCTGGGGGCTCTTCACTCTGTGTGTGTGTGTTTGTGTGTGTGTGTGTGTGTGTGTGTGTGTGTGTGTGTGTATGTGCACATGTGTGTGCCAGGTGTGCATGTGCTAGCTCATTTTGTGCAATGGAAACAATCTGCCCAGACAGGCAAAAGTTTGGTGCTCTGGCCTTCTTGCCCAGGAAAAGGTAAAACTTTCCAAGCCAAAGTTCCGTGGATTGGAGCTTGGAAGACTCGGAAGGAGTTGGTGTCAGGGACTCACATCTTACATGGAACCTTATATAATTTCTTGGTGTTCATTTGCTCCTTCGATCTGTGTAATGCCATATATGTTCAACATTCCTCCGGAAGCCAAGGGCTACAGACCCTGCCCCCTCCCTCTCATAGCCCTCTTCCCTAGTCCATACTTAGCTTCTTACGACTTGGATAAGGTCTAGTTCTTCTTAGAGCTGGAACTTGTCCCCTGCCCTCAGGCGGGTCCTCACCCCCTGGCAAGCTGCATCCCATTATCTTTTCCTATAGCACATGCTTCATCAGTCCTGGGTGGGGTGTTTTCATTAAGTAATTTAGCTTTATTTCATTCCACTTGGACCGTAGTGAAAATTACTTTCCAGTCTCCCCATTCTGGTGTATCCACAGCCTAGATGCTTATAGAATCCTGTAGACTTCCTTATGTGTACTTAGTTCATTTCACACAGTCACGTAAGGTGTGCTGGTCTGTGTCCTATAATCCCTCTTTGTCTTTGCGGTAGGAAGGCTAGGGACATTTAGAAAGATTTATTTTTACTTCATGCGTGCCTGCTTATTTGTATGTGTGCATGTGCAGTGCCCATAGGATTCAGAAAAGGGTTCCAGTTCTTTGAACTGGAGTTACAGAAGCTTGTGAACTGTCAGGTAGGTGCTGGGAAACAACTTGGGTTCCTCTGCAAGAGCAGCCGGCATCCTTAACTGCTGAGTTCTCCCTCAAGCCCTAGGCTATTACTGTTTGTGTGTTATTCTTATATCGTCCACTTTACCACACATGTTCATCAGCTGGAGGAGTTTCCTGGACGAGCTTTAGAGTCTTCTATGTTTCCAGTAGTATCATCTGAAACTAAGGATGCCACGGCTTCTGCCACTCTGTTAAGCAGGGTAGCTTGAGACTAACTGGGTTTTTCTCTGAATATCCATTTTCCTAACTGGTCATCATGTTTAATTGGGCCCCTCTCCAATTCTTTGGCTGATGTGCACTTAAAATAGCTTAGGTTCTTAGGACCCGCTTGGATTTCTTACATCAGCAGGAAGAAGTTTCCATCTGCTCCTGAGACAGGTCCTTCCAGCTGCTGGGCCTCATCTCAGCATGCAGTGTCTGAGAATCCTCCTCTCCTCTGTCACTGTGGTGTGGTCCCCCTAACTGGGAAAGAGACCTTCCTTCAGAGTTTGTCAGGTGTTTGAGGGATACAACTGAAGTCTCTGTAGGACAAGGAGGCCCCTGTGTTTGAGGGACCGAGAAAGCCATGTGGGTTGTTCAGGCTGCTGGCTATGGCATGGTTAGCAAAGTGTAAGATCTCTCTACCGAGGTGCAGAGAGGAAGAAACCCGCTAATGGTACCGATGACCGCGCGTTGTGAGTGAGCCCTGGTGCCTCCTGGAAGGCCATGTCCAGACCACGGTGGGTGGCTGTCAGCACTGAGCGCCTGAGATGCTGCAGGTGTTCTGCACTGGCAGGACAGCTCAGGATGAGGTAGACGTAGTGAAATGACAAGTGTCCCAGCGTTGGAGCCAGGTAACCTGGATGTGCCTCGGGCGGTAGCTGTGAGCCTGAGACCTTGGATGAGGTTTTAAGTTCTCAGCCCTCAAGCCCTAGTTTACCCTCCAGGTGTAACCCTCTCTTTCTCAGGAAATGACTCTGAGGTCAAAAGAATCATGAAAGAAAACCCAGGAACTGACATGTACGAGATGTGCTCCCTTACATGTTTGAGGGGTCTGGTGGTTTTATGGGACTGAAACCAAGGCCTGTCAGGGGAGGGGAGGTACTCCTGTGTTTTGTATTTTCAACCTGATACTCTGATGAAGTTATCATCGGTCAGTCACCCACTCCCCAAGGACTTTGGTCTTTAGAGTTGACACGCTAACTGCTGGGTCTCACTTGTAGCAAGTGTTTCTCCTCTGTGGGCATCCCTGGTACAGCAGACATATAGAAGTGCGTCCTTTGGTTCACTGGGTCAACATTTATGGGAAAACTACCCAGAATCTTGAGATCTCAGGTGTCAGCTGCTGAAGAACTCTCAGAGTTTGCCCTCAAGGATCTCTAGGTTGGGTTACTTTTAGAACTTGATTACTCTTAGAACCTAGAGGGGGACAGAGTTCCCTGGGAGAGGTATGATTGGCTTAAAGGTGCCTAAAGGGTGTGGACAGAGTATACAACTCTTAGTTCTCAGGACCCCCATCCTCCTGCTTCATGGAGACTGAGCTTCTCCCTAGACTTAAGAATGAGGGCACAATGTCCCCTGCTGGGGGAGTGTGATACCTTGGTCAAGTGGCAGTGAATGTGGAGATGGTGTGGTAAGAATACAGCAAGCGGGTGGTCTCTGTACCTCTGGAAGGACTGCTACATACTACATTAGTCGTTGGGCATTGCACATGTGTCGGGCCATTAAGCCGAGTCAGCCAAGACTCTGAATGGCCAAGTCCATTCTGCTACGAATAGAATGATTGTACCTTCTGCTATTAGACATTGAGAATGGGGGCCAGTGGACTCCTTGAGGGTCCATGGATTATGATTGGGAATATCACGTCTCTGGGAAACCACGTAAACAACTTGTTTCATCTGGTTTTTGAGGCTGGGTTTCCTTCACTGCGTATGGGGATAGTTCATTGTTCATTTACATCATGCCCAAGTGGGCCGGTTCTCGCTTCAGCAGATGATCAAACATCGTTCCCACTGAGTAAAGGATATGGGGAGAAGAGACCTGACAGGCTTGTCCCTGTCTGCCTTGCACCACTGTAGTTTTGTCTACAAAGTTCAGACTCAAGAAAGACGTGAGCCAGTTAAAAAATTAATAAGCACAAAAGCCCGTGAAGACCTTCATAACAGTTTATGTGTGCAGTTTTGTGCTGGACTAAACTCAGAATTCCCCTCCTGCCTGTCGTCCCTGGCAGCAGGTTGGGCATGACAGTTAGGGGTTTCATGAGGTCCCTGCATTATTTCATCTTCATGGTTCATTATCTGACCATAAGGAGGGAGCGAAGTCTAGAGATGGAAGCAGTTGTGAGACAGACCCAGGATTAGAACCCAGAGCTCCAGGTTCCTCCCCTCCCCTGCTTTGATTATGGATTGGCTCTCCCATGCGTCTCCCTTCTGTGTGGTGACCTATCTTCTAGTGCTCTCTTTCCACATAGTGGGATCTCCATTGTCCTTAACCGACATTTCATGTATCCATTCTGCCAGACAATCATTGTTTGAATCATGTCAGATATATTAGAAGCATTGATTTTCACAGAGCCAGAGAAATTGCTTCCTCTCCTTTTATGGGTGGGGAAACAGAGTCACAGAGGGAGTTAGTGTTCCGCGTGAGTTCACATAGTATTGGAGATTGGGAAGGAGGGCTTGGGTCTGCCGTGAGGCTCTCCATAGCCTTCTTTCTCTCTGTCTGTCTGTCTGTCTGTCTGTCTGCCTCTCTCTCTCTCTCTCTCTCTCTCTGTCTCTCTCTGCTTCTGTTTTTTTCTTCATATGTTTGTCATTATCACCGTCCCTTGATAACTCCTATTTTGTCTATCTTTCTGTCCCTCCCTCCCTCCTTCCTCCCTCTCTCCCTTTCCTATATCTAGCCTGGCTTTCTGTCTCAGTCTCTGTTCTGTTCTTGTGCCTCCCCACGTTGTTTCTCTCTCTCCTGTCCTTGTCTCTTTTCCTGCATTTCTCTCACCCCATGTCTTATCTACCTGTGTGTGTTCTGTGTGTCTCTGTCTCTTGAGTCCCACCTTCCTGTTTCTCTCTGTGACTCCCCCCACCCCAAGCTCTCTTGCCATTGTCTCTTTCTTGCTGCCTCTGTTCTCCCCCATTTCTTGCTTGTCTTTGACTTGCTCTCTGCCTCACCGCCTGGCTGTCTTCTTTCACTTCTGTCAGCCCCCTCCCTGCTCCCCTCATCTGGGCTCTCATGCGCTCCTGCTCTTCTCTGGTGAATGCTCATCTGTCTGCGTTCCTACTTGCTGCCTGGTGCATCTATTGTTGAGACACGGTGCAGACTATTGAGCTGACACGGTCCAGATGTCCAGCCAGGTCTGCTTCATCTTTGCTCTGTCCCTGTTTGAGCTACATCTGGGAGATCTCTAGGCTCTGGACTTTATTCAATTAGGGCTTCAGGTGTGAAGACACAAGAAATGGAGGGCCAAGGCATAGGCAGAGCCTTCTGCTTTGAAGCAGAACTTGTAGATTTGTTCCTGGTCATCAGTCCCACCTTAGCTCTGAACTCTGGGGAGGGCCCAAGTGCCAGGTGACATCTCGCAGGGAGAGCATTCTGCATGGGAAATCAGGAGTTCCTGCTATTTTTCATGGTTCCACCATGTGATTGCATCCCCATGGCTTTGGACGCAGGCCTAACCCTGGCTAGAGAAGAGGAGTGATGAATCATGGACACAGAGACTCTTAGAATTCACTCAGCCTAGGCATCCAAAGGGCATGTTGCCCTGAGGACCCTGCACAGGCCTTGGGCTAGTGGAAATAGGCTGAGGATTTTGCAAAGGCCAAGATGCCCCAAAGTTGTTTCCACCTCCACATACTCTACTTGATCACATAGCTTCTTAACTCAGAACCCTGGTTTTCTCATGTGCCTGTGCTCAAGCTGGCCAGCATCCCAAGGGATAGAAAGGAGGTGATGTATCAAACAGGTGTGGAACCTGTGGGCAGAGAAAAGACGTACAGACATCACTTCTCCCCATGGCCCGAGCCTCCTGTGGTGAGGGGGCCTTCTAAAAGAATCACCACATATTCCTTTCCAGTAGAAATCAACATTCAAGATATACAAAGTAATTTCTAGAAGATAGAAAACACCGTGGAGATTACCTTTGCATGGGTGCAGATGAAAGGAAGTTCTAAGTTTCATGGTAAGAGAGCTAGCTGCTAGGACAGCCCTCAAGTTCAAGCCCGTAGGTCCCAGGAGGAGAGCACTGGGAGAGCTGTGCATGATTACCTGGCAGGTAGCACTTGGGCAGCCCTGCCTTATCGCCTTCCTATGCGCAGGAGAAGCACCAGTGCTTGCCCCACCTCCATCCCCAGAGAGGAGCATTCCCCAGTTAGCCAGCAATTTCCAGAGGGAATAGGAGCAGGGCAGGCTTCTCCTAGAGGAAGTCTCACCTGCCTGCATTCACAGAGGTAGGCTACAACCAACAGAGTTGATCCTCTCAGCCACCTCCGTGACAGGCATCAATCTCTCACAGGTCCAAAAGCAGCTTCTGGAAGGAGGCACCCATGTTAAGGAAACAAAACAAAAGAAAATGGAACCCAAAAAAAATTGGAAGAAACAGAGAACAATTTGGAAAATAGTGCCACAGGGAAACAGAAGAGTTCAGAATAATTTCCATGTGTTTCTGAAACTCAGATAATGTTACCTAGAGCTATGTCACAAGGTTCTAGGCTGGGCCTGGGGACACAATAGTGTGGAGGACCACCAGGCCTTGTGTCTTCCTGTAGATAGGAAAATAAATGCAAATTGAATTAGGAGAGATGAGGCAGAGGAAAATGAGTGCACCCTGGAGCAGAATAGGGCATCTAATGTGCCAAAGAGGTCAAGGAATGAATCGAAGCTGAGTCATGAGAAAGAAGGAGCCCATGCTAGCGGAGGCACCCAGAGGGCATCCTGTTCATTAGCATGAATGACCCTGGTAGAATATTTTGCTCCCACACCTGAGCCATTGCAACCCTTCTGGATAATGGCTCCAGCTCAGGACATAGACATCAGCTCACTCATTTGGAACACAGTGATTTCCATTGACTTCAGCTAAAGCAGGCTGGGATGTGGCAGAGAGAAGGCTGGCACATCTCACTGACTCATCAGTGTCTTGAGAGAGGGCTTCTTATTCTCAGAAAATACAGAATGGATGTTTGTCCAAGGTACTGCATCGAATAGGAGAGTCAAACCAACTGATCATGAATGTGGGCAGATGGGTTGGGGACTAGATAGATGGGTGGATGCTGGCATGCTCTTAGCTAGTGGCCAGTTCTTAGGTCTATTCCAAGAGCAGGGAGCCTGATGGATGGTCATATTTGCTGGACAAAGTGGACAATACACACACTGTGCTTGCCATTTTACCAATTATGTTATGAACACCACATACCTATGTTTTACCCACATAAAGATCTGTGTGATGAGGAGACTGTGGTGGGAAACAGAATTATAGTTTCTCAAGTTTTTCCCCTCTGCCCTTTGACCCCAATAACTTCTATTTTGGAGATGTTCTGTGTGATGTGCTTAGCTCTCCTGTATGTGGAAGTCTGTTGGAGAGTGGGATTGAGCATGCTTGACACTCAGGGCCTAGGTTCCCCTTCCTTTCTGTGACAGTGACCATAGAGTGTCCAGCCACCTCTTTCCATGTGACTATTCATTCTTTGTTTCTGCATTTTCCTTCTTTGCCAGGGCGAGCGAGGCCTGGATGGATTCCCTGGGAAGCCTGGAGAGACAGGAGCACAGGTAGGTGGGTGCTGGGGTTGGTGGGCCATGTTCTTTGTGACAGGGATGAGTGGACCCTGGCACTAACCTCAGCTTCTTTCCTGCTCAGCGGGGGCAACAGTAGTGCCCAGACTTGCAGTGTTGATTCTGTGTTAACACTACAGGGATTCCAGCAAACACACTGGCTTGCATCCTTAATACCTTGAGTAGTAGGATATATGGTCGTAGTGTAAAGCCCATGGGTGATGCGCATGCTCACAGAGGTAAGCATGCAGGAGTAGTGCCTACACCGCATCTCTAGAAGAAACAATTAGAAGCAGCCCAAGTGCTCAGCAAGAAGAATGAGTTGAGTGCAGCAGGATGCATTGATGCAGATGAGGAAGATGGGAATGTGTATAATAGGATGTAACGGTATAGATGAAGAGATGGAACTGTGGAATCCATGAAGTAGTCTGGACTGTGCCACCATAGACACAGCAATCGTTCATGAGAAAGTGCACCGATAGCTTAGGCTTTGGAAGGATAAACTGGAAACTGGAGACCGCTGACTTAGTCGGACTTCCACTGAGAACAGTGCTGAGCATAGATGGCATCATTCCCATGGATTACAATAAATTCTCCTTGCAGTCCACTCCTGGTGGGTGCCCATGGCTTGTCCAGCTCTCCTTCAAGCCCTTTCATTTCATTTCCCAAGGAACATAACACAGGCGCATGAAGGGCAGGTCCTGTTCTCTCCTCCGGTCCCTTGTAAGCATGCTTACTCTTTCATGCTGGCTTCTCTCACTAGGAAGCACTACACCGCGAGGACCTGAAAAACAGCAGTTCTATGCCTTTGGCATCTCATAGGCTACCTCCCTGGGCCTTAGGTTTTCACGTCAGTTTCCTAATCCTGGCCCAAGTCTAGGCTGACTCTTGCCCTTTTCTAATTTTGAGACACCCATGCCCAAGACCTCTAAGCATTTCCAAAGGGCTTCATCAGACTCTGCCCTCTGCTTTCTGGTGCCAGGCAGATCTTGGTGGTTTGTGCTTTTGCCTTTTGTGAAGTTCTCTCTCTGGCATCCTTGTCTTTAGGCAAAAGGTGGCCTTGTGCTGTTTTCTCAGACTGTGCTGTCCAGTTGCAATTGCCAACATGATTCCAAACATGGCAATGCGGGTATACAGGGTTCAGATTTCCAGAGGAAGAGCTTCCTAGCAGGGAAGGAAGGTAGGAAGCCTAGAGTTGGGGAACCTGGGCTCCTAAGGATAACCAAGCCCCTGTTCAAGATGCACTTTCCGGAAATCCCCTTCTTCACTCATTTCTGTGTATCCCGGGATCTGTCATAATTCATCTCTGCTTTCTTTCCACCAGGGAAGACCTGGACCTCCTGGTGCGGCAGGACCCCAGGGAGAGAAGGTAAGGAAGCCAGAACCTGGGGAAGGGGCACAGTGAGCTCTGGGAAGAGAGTGTACCACAGAGGAGGCTCACTGGGTGTCAGGAACTCCCAATCAGTTCTGCCTGTTGCACTTGAATTGTTTTTCTGCCTTAAGAATAAATACCCGCCCTGTGGGTGGCCCAGCGGTGGTGGCCCAAGTCTTAATCCAAGACCTTGGGAGGCAGAGGCAGGTGGATCTTTGCAAACTCAAGGCCAGCCTGGTCTACAGTGTAAGTTCCAGGACAGATAGACAGATAGGGCTACACATAGAAAACCTGTCTCAAAAAACCAAAAAGAGTGTGTGTGTGTGTGTGTGTGTGTGTGTGTTTGTGTGTGTGTGTGTTTGTAATAAGTGCCCATCAAAAATAGACTCCAACAGGCAATGAGACCAGGATTCATTCCTACTGCTTGTTCTGGCTTTTTGGAACCCATGGGCTGTGCAGTGTGCACAACAAATTAGTCTGTGAGTCAGTCGATAGAAGGTAGGCGCTGAGGGACAGGGATGGACAGGGCTGGAGAATGCTGTTCTCTTGCTCAACCTTAAGGTCATTTCTAGGTTAGTTAACGTTTTTTCCCAGCTGGGCGATTTTACAGCTGAGATTTGCATTGCTTTGTTATTCCAATATTAGGACATTAATACTTTCCTGCAGGGACTTAAAATCTTAAAATAAGGTACTTGTTCAAGTCAGTAAGAACTAATGGTGCCTGTTGCACAAGCCTGTTTTGTGTGTGTGTGTGCGTGTGTTTGTGTATGTGAGTGAATATGCTGTCTGTATTTTTAGTATTTCTGTTGTATTTGAAGATTTAGTTTATTATATCCTACTTGGGGAAATGCTGAGCTTTGCCTCTCATGGCAGATTCAAAGGTGGAAGGTCAGGCTCACAGAGCATCACATTACTTGGGGCATTCATTGAGGTAATTAATAAATCAGCCAGGCTCAGATGGTCTGGTGCCTCTCATCGCGTTATGGGAGTGAAAATAGAAGATCGTCTAGATCTTTGCTATTTCACAATCATTGAGAAAGCCATTGGAACCAGAGGGACCATCTTCTGAATTCCCTCTTTTTACAGATAAGAGACGGCAGACCAAAAATAGTATCTGTCCAAGATTCCACAACAGATTTTATTAAATCTATCTTATCTATCTGTCTTTCTGTCTGTGCATTCTTCTCTCATATATTACATATGGACCACAGTTTCTCCTCCCAGTCCCTCCCCTAACCTCCTTCCTCCTCCAGATATCTTCTTTTACCCTTCAGAAGAGGGCAGGTCCTCCAGGTATATCAACCAAACATGGCATAACAAGTTACAATAAGACTAAGCACATATCCTTTGCCCATATCCTTATACCAAGACTATACAAGGCAACTCAGTAGGAGAAAAAAGGGTCCCCCAAACAGGCAAAAAAGTCAGAGACAACACCTGCTGTTAGGAATCCCACAAGAACAGCAAACCACACACACATATATGCACAGGACCTAGCTCAGACACATAAAGGCTCCCTGACTGTTGCTTAAGTCTCTGTGAGCCCCTGTGAACCCTGGTTAGTTGATTCTGTGGGTCGTGTTCTTGTGGTGTACCTGACCCCTTTGGCTCCTGCAGTCCTTCCTCCTTTATTAAAACTACATTTAAATCCACCCACATGACCATCCAATGATGCACTGTTAGGTATCTCAGAGCATTTATGTTGTGTTAAGTTGAAAATTGTACACTATCTCCAGTGTATAGTTATCTATTGTATGTAACAAATTACCCCAACCCCCAGGAGCTTAGCTGCAGTCATTCAAGGTCTCATGGCATTTCAGAATAGTAATCTAGAGACATGTGACTGGGTTGTCCCCACTCAGGGTCTCTCCTCTAGTGGGCTGTGGTTAAGTCAAGAGTCCCCTGAGACTGTAGAATCTTCTCCCATAGTAATTTGCGTGGTCACTGGTGGACCTAGGTTCTCAGTGCTTTGGGGTTACATGGCTTCTTCACAGCGATTTTCATAGCGTATATTATTTTCCAGAGTACATGGCCTGAGTAAGGAGAAATGACAGATTACCTGGTGGAAGCCACAGCCCTTCTTAGAATGTCAATGTGGGGGTCACTTGACATTCTAATAAAGTTGCAAGTTTCCTGCAAGCCTTTTGACATTGAGAAGAGTAGTCGAGGGGCTGGAGATAGGACTGAGTGGATAAAACTCTGCAGCCCCATTTAAAACAAAAAATAGGCTGTTGTGGTTGGTGCTCTGTTGGCAACCCTAGTGCTAGATAGGAAGTCAGAGAAAGGGGATCCCCAGGACAAGTATGCTAACCACAATGATGAACTCTGGGTTCAGCTAGAAATCCTGCCTTAGTAAATACACTGGGGAGTGATTGAAGAAAAGACCTGCACTCACATGCACATACACACACAGGTGCCTGCACATACCTTCATGCACACACATGGAAACACACAAACACATCCACACATCCACATGCAAAACAGATCAAAGAGCAATAGGGGATTTTAGAAGTGCACTTGGTGATGTACACAAATATGCTGATTTTTTTATTTTGGGACAGGGATATAATCCAGTAGGGTGGGGCAGAAAGAAGCACCTGTATTGATTTTGGACTCAGGGGGAAGTCCTGAAGGGAGAGTGTATAGGAGAGGTGCTTTGTCGGGGTGACATGCTCCTAAATGCAGCAGACAATGGCAAATGTGCCCTGAGTTGCTAGTTATTCCTACTTCGTCTTGAGAGTTAGGAGGCTCCCATCTTTGTTCGGTGCCTCTTTCATTTGTTTGCTCACTTACTCAGTAATGCTTTGGACTCCTTGAGCAGGGCTGAAGGAAAGAGAAAAGTGTTCCTGCTAAAGACAGTGACCTTGCCTTAGCCATCTGGTGTGGGAGTCATGGAATCAAGAGTTTTATTTTACCACAGTTGACACACAAGTTTCCTATGGAGCTATGGTGTCCTTCATGCCCTGGAAAACCTGGTAAACAGAGCCAACATAGCCCAGGTGGCCCATACATGAAGGAGCAGAGGACATGGAACACGGCTGTGTATAATGTCAATGAAGATGAATGGGAACCCTCCCAGCATTTTCTTAAGTACTCTTTTGATAGATGTTAGATAAGTGCTGACCATGTGCTACACCATGAACTTGGCACAAGGGCCACTGCCAAGGTAGAAATTCCAGTGGTTTCCGTCTCCAGCACAGCCTGCTGCATCTGGTATCCCCAGAATGGTGGTCCAGTGCTGCTTCTGGAACTGTAGACAGATGTGACACACCTCACACAGCAGCTGCGGAGACCCTGGTCTGAATGAGCTGAGCACAAAGAGGAAATGAAATGGCCCGTGTCCTCCAGTAGCATCTGAGCTTGAGAGTAGAGATGGGAATCGGATGCAGAGCTTCTAGAATACTCGAGGTGGGGGAGTCCAGGCATGATGGTGATGTGTGTGATGGAGCACAGAGAAGATCCTCTTGGTGTTTGGAATAAGCAAGGGCCTGAGAAAGGGCAGCAGAAGAATGTGGCGGCCATAACTGGTGATCTACTTTCTCTCCTCTGCAGGGAGATGTGGGGCCTGCAGGACCCCCTGGCGTGCCAGGCTCTGTGGTGAGTGACTGAAGGTGGGGCCCATGCACTCATGAGCTCATGGACTTGGTCACAGAGTACTGACCTCTATGCATAAAGCAGAACTCATCTGATTGAGAGAACTTGGAAAGGGATTGACAGGCAGTTAGTGGTTGCCGAGGGAGGGATGAAATCAGGACATACTATGTACGTTCATTAAATAAGGCCATAACGAAACCCACTGTTACGTATGCTTAATGTGTGCTGTTAAAACCTTTATCAAAATGGGCATTCAATATCAAACACTGAATCCGATTGGAGAAGAATCGTGAGCCACTGCATTGTGGCTCGCAGAGTGGACAGCTGGGACGGAACTGAGCGTCTGATGGCCGTTGAGAACAAGATGACACCTTTGCTAACTCCTGTTTGTCTCTCAGGTGCACAGAGAGGGCCTGAAGGGAGAGCAGGTATGGAAAACAGGTCTTTCCCATGTTGGGATTTCAGCTGTAGCAGAAGAAAAGCCACAGCTATGGGGGGGGGGGGGTTGGGCTCAGGCATTCTTTCAGCAATGTGTCCAGCTGACTTCCAGCTGACTTCCAGCTGAGAGTCAGAAGCCTTTGTTGCCTTCTGGGAGCTTGGGGAGCTTAGGACCTTGTCAATGAAAGGCCGTGGTGTACCTGTTCAGGTAGAGAGGGATGGTGACTAATGCATATTTGCTTGTCTTTTCAGGGAGCCCCTGGACCAAGAGGCCACCAAGGCCCACCTGGACCTTCAGGAGCACCGGTAGGTCACTCCTCCCCCATGGCAGGGTGTACTCAAACACCTATAAGTCTAGAAATGCATATTCTTTCCTGTTGTTGAACAGGGGATTATTTCAGAAGTTCTGTTCTCTCTCAGGATAGGAGCTGTGGACTTTTACCATCCCCCGTGGAACACTGAACTGTGGGCAGGGGGCATTGCTGCTGACACACAGTCAAGTGCAGAGATCACGCAGCCTGCACTCAGAGTCCCTTGTCCCCCAACAGGGATCATGGGATCAGGACTCTTGATGTGTCCGCTTCTGCTCAGATTGGACACAGAAGTGACAGTCGAACCACTTCATGCATGTTTACTTTTCCCCACCTCTCCCATTAGCCTTGATTGCTCAGAGGCTCTGTGCAGGCAACCATTGATTTCTGCGTGTGTTAAGAACCTAATGATGTGGAAAATAACCGTTTGGGAGGAGAACATTGAAGGGTCCCTGTGATCATTTATGGTGGAAGTTCAGATTCTAAGGCTAATTAGTAAAAATGCAGTGAACTCTATGGGGGACATTTAAATCTCTCTCTCTCTCTCTCTCTCTCTCTCTCTCTCTGTCTGTCTGTCTGTGTGTGTGTGTGTGTGTGTGTGTGTTAAAGTTTCATTTCCAGGCAACATGATTCTGATTTCTTTACATCGTTGTAATTTTTTTTTTGAGGGAAATGAAGCAGCTGCATCTATAAATTGATTTGCTTTGAGCTTTAGAGCCTGTTCATCATGAGGGCTCAGTGACAAGGGGTGGAACATAAACCAAGCCTAGATAGTGTTTGATTACAATGTAGTGGTGGGGGAGGCTGCTTGTTTGTTTCCTGGCCACCCAGACTCCTGAAATCATCACTATTAATAGTAACTATATTATTTGCAGTTCGTCCTGTTTGGCCAATAGCTTAAGCGTATTGGTAGCTAGCTCTTATGTGCTTGGTTAACCCATTTTTATTAATCTGTATTGTCACATGACTGTGACTTACTGACAAGGTTCCAGCATGTCTGTCCCCAGCGGACGGCTACATGGCTTCTTCCTGTCTCTACCTACTCTCTCTCTCTCTCTCTCTCTCTCTCTCTCTCTCTCTCTCTTTCTCTCTCTCTCTCTGTCTTTCAGCATGGTTTTACTCTGTTAAACCATTGGCCAAAAGTGGCTTCTTTATTAACCAATGGCAATAAAACATATTCACAGCATACCTCACCTCCCGCATCAATGTAGCTAGAACAATTTAATATCAGAACTGTGGATCAATAAAGCTACCTTCTGTTCCACCATTCCAAGGCTCATCTTCTCATAGCTATCTATCTAGCATAGCTGTAAGCTTTGAGAGATTTAGGTTCGGTGTGTATGTGATTATACACCCTAAATCCTTTCTTGGAAAAGGATGAATTTCTGCCCAGAAATTGTTTATCTTCAGCAGTGAAAGGATTGACGTGGTGGTGGTCGACTGACTTAAAAAACTAGTAAAAGGCAAAACACACAATTGAACTGGGTATCTACCTAGCCTTGGTGCTTCTCGTTGTGAAGGGTGTGCTGGAGAAGGCCTTGAAGCTTTGCTAAGGTTCTCCACTAGGGGCAAAACTGCGGTCGGGAGAACTGAGGTTACTGAAGATGCTGTTCATGCTGGGCACGCCTGTCGTTGGAGAGCAGGGCTTCATGCAGGAGGAGGTGTTGAGGGTGGAATTGCTTACGTTAGCCAAGGTCTGGAAACACCCAGGGGGAGGCTTTGTTCAAAGGGAGACAGGATTCTGGGACTACACTTCTTTAAAGCATTGTTTTTACGTATTTTTCCATGCAGTGTATTTTCAGAATCACATTTGTCTGTTTACTTGTGTATTTCACTGTCTTCATTCATTTTTATTTCCTGTGCTTTCATACAATATATTCTCATCATGTTCTTTCACCTCCCCCCAACTTCTCCCAGATCTTCCATACTCACCTAACTTTCTCTCTCTCTCTCTCTCTCTCTCTCTCTCTCTCTCTCTCTCTCTCT